CTCGTTCTCCACGAGTTGTTCAAGCGAGCAAATGACAATACTGTATCATACCTTTCGTATTACTTGTTTTCTACTGCTTTTTGTCGCATGCCCGTTTCAACAAGAAGGCAGAGAACAGCTCAAAGAGGGTGACACACTCATACTGGCTGACACGCCCAACCGTCCGCAGCGAAGTAGAGTGTAGTCATTCATTATATTTTTTGCACCCGTAGTTGTATTGCAGTGGCAGTAAATAGCTCTTTTCTCGTGACACAGTCTTCATTAGGTTCAGCTGCAAACCCCCGTGGCTCAGCTGGCGGCACTCTCTTATACCCACGCTCTGCACAGATCTTTCTGCCCTTAACCCGCTCCACAGGCACGTAGCCGCCGCGGGCAAGTCCATGGGCACGCCTTTCCCAGACGTCGTGTATGGCTAGCTATTATGGCTAGCTGCTCGTAGTCACTCGCCATGTATTTGGCTTTGGCAGACGACAGAAAGAAAAAGAAATCTGACATACCTTCAGCAAGTTTTTCGCTTACTTCGGGATCGGTAGCAACTTTTCCATCCCAGTCGTAAGGGTCTGTCAGATTAACTTTCAACTTTTTAACTTCTTCCATGAGCTATAAGTGAGCATCATTCAATACCGATTGTCTAATAGCTATTGTTGCATTTTCCGTGGTATGGCCCATTCAACATTTGTGCGTCATAGGGCTGATGACTAATCAAGCTTGCCAACTTCGGATTTTTTTTCCACATAAGCCTTTCTCAAAATAATATCTTAACCTCATGCTGGTCTGGAGTGAAAATTTTTGCCAAGGTTACTGTGGGAGGCTTCGCGCGCGCGGAACTGCCACATGTCTCCTCTTCTGACCCTCTCACTGATAGTGAGTTGTTCGCACAATCTCAACTTTCCTATTGTTTACCGGCAATCTATTGCGAACACTATCTCAGCGAGAGTGAGCCGACGAGCAGACATGACGTGTCGTAGCCGCGTCGCCCCAGCTACTCTCTTCTCAACCTTTGTATGCATGCCTTGGAAAAAATTTGGATGTGCTGTGCAATAGGAGCCTCACCCTGAATGAATATTAAAGTGATGCTATGAACGAGCAGGTCACTCCATAACCCGGCGATAGAGAGGGCGTTGCTGCGTACCCAACTCGAATACGGCGTTTTTCGCGAGATATTTCTAATTGGAGCAACTGCCATCCTGGTTTTCACTGGACAAAGACATGTTTACAGTTGTTCCAAACGCAAATATTCCATCATGAGCACAGGCGCCATCACAATGAAACGAAGTATGCAGCCACGCCCACTTCATGTCCGGAATATGGAGTGTATATCGCCAGCGTGCGCCTCATCTTCTGGATACCACATCAGTATCCAGACAAAAAAGGTCAGACAAAAGTCCATGAATAATATCTTACCGTTTCGAATATCATTTTGTAATCTGGTCTATCGAAGTAGCCTAACTTGACGAACGATTTTATTATTGGCAAGAAAACCTTGGACAGGCTGAAATATGTGCTTATCAAAGGAACTGTTGATAAATCCTGAGGCAGGCTTACTCTGAACAACACAGTTTCTCAAGAGGAGTTTCTTCCTTCAGACCAAGAACAGCTTCTGGATGGTTCACTTTTGCCCATGGTAATGAATCGCGCATTTCGATGAACATGTAGGCCCAAGACCCACACGGCCCTAAATATGTATGTACGTAGGTAATAACTAATGGTTCAGCAGTTAAGCAAGTAAACTACCTGCTCTGATCGACGATGTACAGCCAGAGAACAATACCGCAATGTACCACGAAAGGCTACCTAAAATAAGGGCAATCATGTTCGCTGCAAGTCGGGCGTTCACAGACTTTGCCTTTAGCTTGTACATGAAAAGGAACTTTGTATAATAAAGGAAGATTGGACTCGTTCTGAAAGTTTCTATTAAGTACCCTTGTTCTTCTTCGTTTGATGCACCACTCCGATTTCTCGTTTTTGACCGCATACTTTCTGGTCATTCCTGAACAAGGGCTCTAACGTTCACTCCCAAGTTGCCTTGAAGACAAACTGTACCCTCACATCCGTTGACCATGGTCTTCAATATGTGCGAGGTGAAAGGGGGCAGCTACAGTATTCTGCCACTTTTCTGCTCAAAATTGCACGGGAACAGGGCTTAAGGGCAGTGATACCCAGGCCTCCCAGCCCTGCCCGCTCTGCCACACGGCCGGCCCCACGTGTAGCCGTAGCCAAACTAGCCAAGACTTGTCTGTGCACTCTCACAACTGGTTGTTCTCTACCTCAGACTGTGGGGAAGAGTGACAGATGGTGGGATTTTGGTACCGGAGTGCTGCACTCTGGCAGTGCAACACAACGTCGATCTTGAGCTCTGTTACCGTGCACTTCTGAAGGCAGAAAGTGACACGCTACCCATTCACCTCGCATGTGACAGGAACTTTCTCAAAAGAGAGTGTACAGTTTGCCTCTAAAGCTAACCGTACCAAAATCGATAACGTG